TTTTTGAAATTATTTTAAGTTTAACACTTAAAATAATTTCAAAAAATCTATCAAAGTAATCTGTGCCTTTATCAATCTATCTCTGTCTTTCTTTCTTCTTAAGTATTAAACTTTTGTGTTTTGCACCAGCAATTATGCGACAGCGGTTCTCTCCATGAGGCCACACGTAATCGTGATCGAACAAAACGTACGCCAGCCAAATAGGAGACTGTGCTAAGTCTTTTAGAGGACAATCCTAGTAGAAGTGCATAAGGTATCACGAAAGAAATTGGAATTTCACACACCAGCGTTTGGAGTATTATGAATAGCAATGACATGCATAGCAATGAATAGCATCCATATCATTTACATGATAGTTTAGTTATTGAACGAATCTGGCTTTCAACCTCGTTGGGCTTTTTAACATCGGTATTTGCACAGATCCATGTTTCCCAGCCTCCATGTTGTTCACATATTAGGATACAGAATTTCATGAGAAAGGATATTTTTAATACTCATAATAACAATGCATGGGTGATGGCGAATCCATATGCGATGCGTATTCGGGTTGCACAGACACGCTTCGTGGTAAATGTATGGGTCAGCATTTCAGGGAATCGCCTCGTCAGGCCATACCTGTTGCCTGACCTCCTGAAAAATGCAGATTACTTGATATTCTTGGAGGAGGTGTTATCAGAATTATTGCACAATGCGCACGTTTCTACTGCGACGCATCCTTCCTCGTGGTACCAGCACGATGGAGCCCCCGCCCATTTTAGTGTTTCTGTATTTGAATTCAACATTTGGCTAATGATGGTCATGGTGGTCCAGTGAATTAGCCTTTCTGATCGTCAGGCCTGTCGTGTATGGATTATTTCTTCTGAGATCATATGAAATTCTTTGTATAAGAAACCTCGTTGACAGAGCCAAGAACCATTTAAGTGCGTACCGTTGCAGAAGTCCAAGATACTCCTGGAACGTTTGAGAACTACTTCCATGCAGCGAAAATGTGAGGCCTGCATCACATGCGGGGTTCGTCAAGTGGAACACCTTCTTTGATATGAGTTGTACTTTCCTTTTGTTACTTTTGTTTTTATATTTTTGAACAGTGAATTATAAAACTTTTTTTCCTCCTACTTTATAGCCTTTCCTTTCCTTGTGTTTTATGTAATGGAATGCGGACTGAAGCTTCGAAACAAGTACACTCGAAATACCCGCGCCTAATTCAATATCCTCTACTGCGTCAGGAAGGAGTTTCCACTCCGGCATTCCTTTATGATTCCGCGAGTTCTAGGTGTACGATACCTCCCCTCGAAGTTTGAGACATCTTAGCTGGGATACCCTGCATATGAATATTTATGTGAAAATTTGAAACAGAATATATTATTATAGTTTTTTTTAATTATTCATAAATTAATAATAGAACAGTTAAACATTGATGACCATACATAAATAATTATAACAATAATAATCATTAAACAATAATATAATATTATATTTACTACAATCAGTTGTCAAATTTACTATACTGGAGACACCAAGCAGTCAAGTTCACCTGTATCCATGCGCATCATCATTTAATAATCTAAACGTAATTGTCACACCATCGGCTCAGCCTTATCGTCATTGCTTTTTCGGCCAATCAGAAGCCGTGTCTTTGTCTTCACAGCTCGAACGTGCTTAGAGGATCACGGACAAAAAACATAGACGGTGATGTTAATTGTGTTTATCTAAAAAAATGGCATATATGAATTCTCATTTTTTTTGTGTTAACAAAACATGCCAATTTGTATATTTAGCGAATTCCGCAGCGGACCGTAAAATTTTACCGAGCAAGTCTCGGATTGGACATCAGTGTTTCATACCACTATGTTTTCTCTTGTGATGATTCGAATATAACGTTCGTCCCCCCACCTATTGCATTGTTTCCGCCCACGATGTTTTCACCTGTAATCTCAAAAGAAGAGGAGCGTAATTCAACACTTTAAATGGTAAATATCGCATGAATGCCTCTGGTCATACGATCGTCCTTCGGTCATAGTTGGTAAAGTCTGAGTTTGTGCACAAGCATTTACATCTTTAAATGATTTTAAGGATAAGCACGCGATAAATCGGTAAATGCAAAGATATATGTTTAAGTGAAGGATTTGTGGTTAATAAACACATATAAACACTGAGGCCGCGACCATTAACGTGAATCGCAAAAATGTTTCATAACGCGATTTCCTAAAAACATTTATGACGTAAACATCATATCATTCATGAAAACATAATTGAGACTGGCATTTGGTAATTTACTTTATGTATCTTTATTAGTAAATAGTGCATCATTAGTTACTGGAAATGGATTGATATAAGTCAAGATGTGTTAGAATGAAGGATTATGAAAATCAAAACCTTACCATAATTGTTTGAAATATCTTAGGGCCGACTAAAAAGTCAGTTATATTTCAGAAACTCGCTTAATGCGACTATAAATAAGATATACCTGATAATTGCGCTATTGGCAATAACCGCTTTACCGATTCTGCAAAAGGCACCATTAAAAGATCATTACCGTCAAAACGAATCCCTTTTGAACTCTGAAATAGAACGTATAACAGCTTAAACGGAGCTGAAAAAAATGAAGAATTTCGACCATTTTGTTTTGTAGCAAATGTACGAACAAACGCTGCTGGGGTTTGCGAAAGGAAGCGTAGCTTAAAAATAAGAATAAACATCATTATCTCTATTTACAGGTGATGTGTGAAGAATTATTCTCCTGGGCATTGGGATCTTCTTGTAGCATCATTCTTTCTCTTTAACTTTCCGTTTTACGATCTACTTTAATATTTATTTTACACACTTCACCACTTTAACCGTAACGGCGCGCGATAGAGATAAAAAAATTAGAAAAAGAGATGCAGACCAAACGATATTTTATCCAGTCAACTACGCGGACCAGATATTAACCGCGTTTTGGCAGGTGGCCATATTGGCTCGCTGCCAGTCGCTACAATTCATGTATCTGTGGGATTTTATAGGACTATAGCAGAGCGAAAAGTAATTTTAATAGCTCTCGATCGTAAATTGGTAGAGCCGGTGATAGGATAGAACTTTGCGGAAATATTTCTCTCTTTTCTATTTTTTTAATATCATTTTATTCGCCTCTGAGTCTAGCTTTAATCGAAACGTCTAGTGCATATGATGTAGTTTGACTTTCAACTTTGAATGAAATTTTTCCTTTTATTTTCACTTTGATGCACATAAAACGATTCGATTTGTGTGATGATGACTTCGTGAATACTGTGTTAGATTAATGCGTGTTCAAAAGCAAAACAGATTTTGATAAGTAAATGTTTTAAGAACATCGTAAAAGCTGATTTTTATGAAATGTTTTTATCTTGTACACTGTCCAATTGGATTTTCATTCCCAAATATCTTTCTAGCAATACGTTGTTGTGTAGTAGTATTAAAATTATCTAACTAAAATTATGTTGGAGTTTTCATGTATACATCATTGAATCTGTATATTTGTGTGAAGAATATGTACTATTTATTTCTTTGACATTTAATATTAAATTCTGTTTTGATCAGATGTGGTTCACGAACCTACAAATGTGTAGCTATACACCTGGAGCTTTTATATCCAAGGGTAGTATTACATGTTTAGAAATATGAAAGGTTGCTTCAGAGAGCCAAAACATGTCTACTCCCAGGTGGATAATGTATTGCATTATCCTACCTTAACCGTACTCCAGAATATGTTTGTAACATGATGAATTTGTGAAAGGTCAGACCCAACCTATGTAGAAAGTAAAACTGTGATGATGCTTCTTAGAAACAATGCATTTAGACTATCCGTTTTCCCCGTCTTCTCATTGACTAAAATTACCTTATGTCTGTGTAAAACGGTAAAAGCTTCCGAATTCACATTTGGTACAGCTGCAAATGGATTTAAATATAAACATGAATTTTCACAAAAAAAATATAACAGAAATCTACAGTAAATTTTCATGTCGTATTCAAACTATAATTGATTTTAAATTGGCTTAAAATTATGATTTTTATTTCTCTAACCTTTAATAAAATTAAGAAGTAATATTTCAGGTTCGTGATTTTGTGCTAATTCTAGCACTCATATATTATGCTATGGGGAAAGGAAAAGAAAATGCTCCTTATACTGCCCTATACATTTTAAACACTATAATGAGGAAAGTAAAAGTGTCTATCCCACATATTGCTAAATTAAATTATAAGATGTTTTCTCCCTCCATTCCGCATGCCTTTGTGGTGTTAAGCATACTCGACGCGTATTCGAGACGTACAGGGTTCGGATCCTGGCGAGGGCACTGCAAATTTTTCACGTCTTCTGCTTCGAAATAACGTAATGAGTCTAGGAAAAAAAATTGGAGGCACACCAGTAAACATTAGGAACCCGACGCTTTATTACTGTCAACTGACTCGCAACGTCTGCCAGAAATAGTAATTGCAATGTAAAAACTGAAATTTTCTATAATATTCTTGTAACGGAATATTATTTAAATATGGGTCCACTTTTAGTTGGTACTTCGAGTGAGAATAAGAAGGGAATTCGCTGGTTCGTTGTCAAAGAAGCTAGAATTCTTTATACCGTTCTATATAACATTTTCTGATACTACATAGTTTCATAAAAAGTTCCTAGTACTTCTGTTTAATCTGCATACATTTTCGCATTTAAAAATGTAAATCCTTTCATTTTAGTTAACTCTCAACGAAATAAATGACACATTCTTCAAAGTACAAAAGGGTTTTTGTAAAGAACAACAGATTGTATGTAAAATCACGGAATTAATTAATACTTGTAACTTGAAATCACAGAATTAATGAATACTTGTAACTTGAAATCACGGAATTAATGAATACTTGAATTAATGAATACTGTAACATAACAACAGATTGTATGTGAAATCACGGAATTAATGAATACTGTAAAACTAAGATGGTACCTGCGTATCGGATGGGTTTATTTTAAACTTGTAAACATCATTTTCGGCACTTACTTATGAATTTGATTTTACAGCTTGTTAAATGTAGCATCAACTTCCAGTCATCCAGGCTAAACATGAAGATTACCTTTTCAACATTTGCATCATAAAAGATTGTTTCTAAAAGGAATTTAAAGCAAATTAATTTGCTTAAAGTACTAAAATAGAGCTATATTAGAAATATTAGAAACTTATAAGAGTAACTTATAAGTTTGTTTCTAACTAAACTTATAAGAGTAATATAAACTTATTATTAAAATATTAGAAACTTATAAGAGATTGGTTTGAAATATTTGATATTAGCTATTCAGAACCCATTTTAACTCAGTGAGTGGCAACAGAAAAGATACTTCTAAAAATCTCACAAATGCTCAAAGAAGGAGTTTTTTTTTTTTTTTTTCGGGGGGGTGGCTAAAATTTTTATGGTGTTTGTACTTAAAACGCTTTCGCGTGTTTGAACAGCAGGAAATTTATGCTTGTGAGTTCATTTTATACGCTGTTTTTATTCAAAATTAGTGAGAGAATTTTAGAACTTTTATAGGGTAAATAATATTTTATTCAATAATGAAGATCTATTTTGTTATTTATTATTGGAAAAATATTCTCTTAAGGCAAATGGTAAAAAAAAATTATCATTTGATTACTTCAAAGTATTTTTGAAATTAATTGTGAAATTGCTTGAGCCATCTAATGCGTTCGTATAAAATCTTTTAGAATTACTTTGCAGGTATTTAAGCATTCGTTATCACTAGAATAAATTACGGTTGTTTGTTTAATCGAAATTAATGAGCTATTTTTGTAACTTTTTAAAGCATATAACATTTTACCCGTAAATAATTTATTATTATTTTTGACTTAAAAATACTTGCATTTTAATAAATAATCAAAACATTCATTCATACAGTGCATTTGTGAAACCACAGACAAATCAACTCATATAACAGTCATGTAATAGTGTATTGTCTTTTGATCGCATATTGTGCTGTTTAAGCTGTTCGCTATAGAAAGAAGAAATTATTTAATAATTTTGTGCAAATTATATCTGATTGTTTTTATGCAACCTACTAAATTATTTTTATTAAAATATATTCCTCATACCATACATAAATACACATAAAATTATTATATTTTCACTGGAACCTTTTCATACATCATGAACATTTTCATCTTAAAAAATGGCGCTCTTTATAAGTTACTGAAGGGTTTTCCTAGGATATTTCTAGAATTGTTAAATACCAAAAATTTAAAGCACCGTATGGAGATTACAGCAACACACATACTCATTTTTTACCTTTGTTTGCGTTTCGTTTCTCCCCCTGTTAATCTTTTTAATCTTCTGTCATAATTTTTAATTACTAATCTTTCGTTTTCTCCTGTTTTCTTGTTACTGCTTATATGTGGAGTCTTTTACGTTACATTCTTCCCCTGAAGTTTATTTTTGCTAAGGGGTTCTTAAAGTTTCCAACCGTTTGTCTGGTCTTTTTATTTTTCTTTGTATATTCCCATGAAATTTTATATTCGCCATTTATAGTTTAAAGTCAAATGCAAATATCGTATTTTCTCGTGTTTTAGCACCAATTACTAAAAATTTAGAAAATATTCACATAATATTTTCTTTTCTTAACGTATTCAGAGAAAGAACTCTTCTAAAATTTAAAATGAATTCGTCCACGCAGTAATTATTTTAGCCTTGCTGACACAAGGTAAATCCTCACAAACACGCATAAAGTCACGGTAATTCGTTTCACTTTTAACTGTTGAACTTTATGCCAGCCCATCATAGCCAGAAGCTACCCATTACGCCGAGGTAAACGTGCCCTAACACTCAGTCTACGATTTCACTGACTTAGCTGTCCATTCTCCTTCTCTACTTATTTATGGTCGATCTGAGGCGTCAGGAGTAGCAGAGACAATAATAAAAACGGTCGAGATTCAAGCTACAGAGAAGTAGAAATGAAGACAACTTATTAGATATTGTATTATTGTAGGAGATCGAGCAATAAGAATCAGCCTAATATTCATATATCTGTAGGACTAGTTTCGAAGGCCCTAATTTAGAACCTTCTTTTTCAGTTGCAGAAATACAAATGAAGAAAGAGAAGCGGGCGTTAAGATAAATTAAGCAAGATAATACGAATGAGAGGAAGGAAGTAAAGTACTGGAGCGCTACAAAAAAAGAAGAAGAAAAAAATATTTAAAAGCTGAAGGTAAAAGCTTATTAATATTGAGATCGTTGGCTTAAAGTGAAAGATTTTTATGAACGTGAAACTCCTCTAGATGCAACAGTTTAAATAATACGTTTTTGGGATAATGTATTCTTAGGTTAATATCCATAAAACTGTGATTTAAGTCATTGTTGAAGATAATTATGTTTTGGGTGATTTGTGAATAAAAAATTAAATAAAATATAAAAACTACTAACATATGCTGGGAAAACCGAATAATGATAAGTGGGAGGGAAGGATGAAGATAAAAAGGACAGGCAGATCAAGAAATTTACGTTAAAGAAAGCGGACAAAGGACCTCAGAACTTCATGAGGTTTGCAGAGAAATGTTCATCTGGATTCATACTTGATTCTATGAAGCTCCGTTGCATTGGCAGTAAATTTTTAAAACTGTGACAGCCTTGAACGCAGGCAGATATTCGAAGTTATATGCATATATGGCACTACGTAATGAAGCTCGTAATATTTATGCGATAATATATATGATAATTATAAAATGTTATTTAATTTGTCTGAAATATAAAATAATGTGCACAAGTTTTAACTTTATATAACCTATATGATGTTCGATAATATTTGTTCAATTGTAGTCGCCCATAGATAAAAGAAATACGACCGACGGATTCTAATTTCTACAGCTAGTATCCCAAAACACAAGCTATAATATGTGTTCAATTATACGGAAAAATCTTTTATCCGGAATCGGCGAAGTCCGGTACGTAATAAAGGCTTAAATATATAGGTAGACAAAATATGTAACGTAAAAAAGCGTGGAAATAAATTTTTTTTGATGAAAGCCGTTTGAACGCATGAAATGTCTAGCAAGGCTATGGTATAATCTGCAAGTAGCTCAAGAGTACGGTATAATCTGTAAGTAGTTTCTGATAATAATCGTAATTGTCTTTCTTTAAAATTTTACACATCATTGTTTTTGTTTATACTTGTCATAAGAATTCTCGCAATGTACAGGTTTTATAAAATTCTCAGCTGCTAAAAATATTTAAAAACTTTTTCTTAACGTAGAATTCAATTTAGTAAGATTAGTGAGTGCTTTAAGAAATACTATTCACTTTAGATGTTTCTCCTTGTGCACTTTAATCATGAATTGCAGCTCTTTTATTAAGGTGAGGAACTGTTCAACTGATTATGCAAAAGCCACAAAGATACCTTCCTAACGGGATAAATATCTTCAGAAAACATCGAATCTAAAATTAAAATTTTTGGATTGAGATTTACTAGAATATTGGTGATTAAATACTAGATAATTAAATAATTAGAATTTTAACATTGCTAGAGGGCATAAACCAGCTATTCAAGCAGGTATAGAATTTTAAAATTGCAGGAGGTCTAAATTCCTATATATTACAAGCAATCGTTGCTCTAGAAAATGTACATACTATATGAAATGAGTAGAATTAATTGAATTATGTGTTACAAGTAGTGGAGTTTATAGAGTTTAAATTTCTAATTAGAAGTAATAAAAATATAATAATATAAAAATAAGCTATATTTCCAATTGTCATACTGAAATCCCACTTATATTTTAAAAATTTCTCAGGAATAGTTGAGCATATAATAGAGGATGTAATGCATATTTGATTGCATTTTTATGGACTAATATTAATAAATTAAAATCGAAATTTATTATGTGTTATTAGAACTAATACACAAGCACGTAGAGGCAGTAACGCATGAATTTATTTTTTGCATGTTACTAAAATTAAAATTAACATATATTATGAATTAAGACACAAATTAGCTATTAGGTTGCACATATTTTGCAGAAATTTAACTTTCGGGTTGTTTATTCTCCCACCAATAAAATTCCGAGTTCCATACTCAAGGACCCCATTCCAGATATGAAATCCTGGGGTATTTATAGGATTCCTTGTGTGGTTTAATTTACATTGGCCAAACTAAGAGAGCCTTAAAATTTCGCGTCAGGGAACATTAGGCATATGTTAGAAAAAAGGAAACACATAAGTCTTCTGTTGCTCAACATCGTTGGTCCGAAAATCACACTTTCAATTTTTCTGCTGCCAAAATTATTCAAAAACATCTTCCATTGGAGAACTGGAATTTTCTAGAGGCATTTCACATTCATAAAAATCTTTCTGTTCTAGTTAATGATCCTAATTCCAATTCAATTTTGCCTTCGACCTTTAAAGAAATTATGTTTTAGTTCTGGTTTCACCAACAGATGGCGCCCGTTGCTTATTCTTGTCCAGGCTTTCTTATCTTAATTAATCATTATTTCCTATCTTGTTCATTTGCGGTTTTGCAGCTGAGGATGGTGGTTCGGTAAAACCATCGAAACTAGTCCTGTGAAAATTTTGTAAATATAACGCTTATTTTTGTTGTTTGACTTCTGAATTAATATATTAAGAAATTCTAACAAAATCTATCTTGAAAATAACTTTAAAATAGTTAGGTATAAATAAAATAAAATCCTTTGTTAGATCCTGCACGTGCAAAGCATTCCATGAAAATATATTTTCTAGCTTTAAATATCACATCCGTACCGTTTCCCTAATTCTAAAATTCATAGGGTAAAAATGAAAGATATGTGTTTACCGTAATAGATACCGTAATAAAACCTTTGGAAAATTTTAGAAATTTGCTAGTCTGAAAATGGAATGCCAGCTCAATACTGAGGTAAACAAATTTATTATTCTTTCAACTATCCTCCGCGATGCATAAATAAAACAAAGCAGAAGTAACCATAACTTACAGTAATGCAGATTGTTAGCCGCAGAATATTTTACCAATAAATATTTCACGTTCAATCGATGTTAGAAGTTCATCGTAAATAAACTCGGCAAACACAGGGTTGAAAATTTGAAATATTCATAAGAAGATTTTCGTTCTACATAAGTCTGTCTCCTAACAGGAACA